GAGCGTCGGTTGTACACAAAACACGTTATGCGCGGAGATGCCCGCGCAGTCAGATGGCACGGTGCACCGACGTTGCCCCCGAGTGACGAGTCGACGCCGTCCCTGACCCTGCTTCGCAGCAGCCATACGCTGGGCGAATTCTACCGGCGAGGGTTCCCTTTGGCATCTCTCCGCCACTCCCGCGCGAAGAACGTCTGTTCAGGAGTCAGCCAGAGACGCACGCACGTGCCTTCTTGCCTGTCGCTCCAGTCGGAGCCAGGCGATTTGTAGCGAGGCAAGAGAGAAAAGAAGATGCACTCAGATGCCAACAGTGAAGGCGCAGCGCAGTGTGTCTCGCACAAATTGCTGGTCAAAGCAAGGGCATCGAATCTGTGCTCACAGGCAAGCACGGTCAAGGCACAGGCATCGATGGAAGGTTGTAACGAGTCCCAGGTATATTTGCGCACCAGTGAAACGGGGACGCAGGTCATTCGACGTCTAATCTAAATGCAAAGTCATGAATGAGTTGGAGGCATCACCAAGCGATCTTGGCGATGACGCTGTTGGGGAAGGTCCTGACGAGGAGCTTGCGCAGTTCGTCCATGCCCAGCAGGCCGATGGCGAGCGGGATGGGGATGAACCAGTGCTCGATGGGGATGGAAGCGGTGCCGAAGAGGTTCTGGATGCCCTTGACCTCGGTGACAAAGATGGCGATGACCAGCGCGCCGAGTGCGCCCACGAGGAGCCAGGGGTTGCGACGCTCCTTGCGGATCGGGTCGGCCTGGAAGATCGACAGACGCTTGTTGCGTACCGAGAGCAGGTTACCCCACTGCAGAATGACGAGCGTGACAAAGTAGACACACTGGCCCGTGTTGAGGAAGCGGTTGAGCTCGTCGAGCGTGTAGCCGTGGAAGCCATCTCCGAACTTCTCGAAGGCGAAGAAGAGGTCGCGGATCGGGATCTTGGCGTACCTCCACATGTAAAGGAAGAACATCGAGTGCGCAGTGATGGTCTCCATCATGCCGATGAAGAGGTAGCTCTGTCCGTAGATCGCCTTGTTGATCAGGTGGTCCGTTTTGGTGTTCCTGGGCTCGAGCGAGAGCAGGTCGAACTCCTCCTTTTCAAAGATGAGCGTGAGGCAGCAGACCAGATCGGTGAAGCAGCAGATGATGATCATGAGGAACGAGCTGAGCGGCAGCGGCACGCCAAAGAAGACGTTGAGCACGACGGGCCAGTCCTCGGACCACGAGCCGGCGGGGAGCAGGTACGAGATGACCTTTTGCAGGTTCTGGAACACGAGTCGTCCGAGACGGATGCCCTGGACGATGGAGCCGAAGTCGCCCATGAGGACGAGATCGGCGGCCTCCATGGCGACGTCCGAGCCCGAAACCATGGCAATACCGACATCGGCGGCCTTGAGCGCAGGAGCGTCGTTGACACCGTCACCGGTCACGGCGACGACGCATCCACGGTCGCGCAGCTCGTTGACG